ACATATTCCCTTTATTGTGTCTCTTGTAAATAGACTTTATGTCATAATTTTGTAGTTACCAGACTCCGTTAAATCTGAGGTTCAATCTGTTTTTATCGCGACTTTCCCGGTTCCTCCTTTCCCCTTTTATCAATGTGCGAATAAAATGTTTGATTTGAAGATTCCTGTTTTCATTGCATATCTTCTTTTAGACCCAGTGACATCTGTACTTCTCTGCGCAATGCAGATAAATCATGGCTGGCAGGAGGGGCCAGCAAGGTACTGTATATACCTGAAAACATCACAGCACCCTGCCTCAATACTCTTCTCAAGAGCCCTTAGCGCTGAGGTAAGCAGTGGGTTGGCTCTTAGAAGGAGCGATGCACTTTGATAAAGTATCAGAAAGCCTTGATAGGTGGTTGTCAGTCTAGAGTGGACACGCATGATTATTGTGTGGCATCTCTCAGACAAAATTTGTCTTTCAATTACTCCGGGAATTATTTTGGATATGATTCCATTATTTAAAAAAACTCCAGATGAGCACAAGATGTTCTGGTGATCTTTAGTTTCCTGGTCTCGGTCAGCTGGTCCAATTGTCAATGAGGAATACTTGCAGCGGTTCAGAGAACAGCAAAATGTGATTGATCACAAATTTATAACTGCCGTCTCGGAGATGTGGAAAGTGGAGGTAAAGGAGACCTGTTCCACGTTGTTGGTTGTGCCGCACGTGTGATTATTGTGCGGCATTTTTGAAACAAAATGTATCTTTTAGTTACTCTGGAAATGATTATTGATATGCTTGCATTACTCTTCCAAATTCTCCAAACAGCTTCTCTGTCCGTAAATCTCCACCACTCCACAGAGATTCTTGCAGCAGTTCTGTCAGTTATGACAGATTCATAAACACCTGACCGACACATACATCAATCTGCCGCACAATCGGATATTTGTTACACTACTGCGAGACAGATTTCTTAGGGCTCTGTCACATGTGCGTTAAGAATTTACCGCAAGATCAACGCTTATTAACGTGTTTGCAAGGCGTTAGGGAGGCATCAACAACGCTTGGAAAATGCTCCACCCCAGTGGGAGAGTCGGACCTCTGTGTGTAAAGTCTTCTCCAGCACATCCCAAAGATTCTCAATGGTGTTAAGGTCTGGACTGTGTGGTGGCCAATCCATGCGTGACAATGATGTCACATGCTCCCTGAACTACTCTTTCACAATCTGAGCCCGATGAATCCTGGCATTGTCATCTTGGAATATGTCCAATGCGCCATCAGCGAAGAAAAAAATCCATTGCTGGAAAAACCTGATCATTCAGTATATTCAGATAGGCAGCTGACCTCATTTTTTGGGGATATAGCATTGTTGAACTTAAAGTAGCATATATGCATAGATATATGCATAGATATATGCAAAACGTTTTTTTTTAAACGCTGTAACAGGATGGCGTAGGACGCTGAGGTCCTGAGCACCGCCCGTCCACAGACCTAGGCTCGCTTGCCTCGCTAAGGGCAATGACCTAATCGGTTTTAGCCGGCTCTCCCGTCTCCAACGGCCCTCCTCTCCCCCACGAATAGCGCTATATTAGCACTTCACTATCGGGTAAACACCCTGCATCCGGCAACAGCAAGAGCGCTGAACGGCTGGAAGATACCTGGAAGACCTCTGATGCAAGTATATCAGCCATATATTGCCATATACTAGACATGTGCGATTAGTTTCGTTCCGAATCGAAATTCGGAAGAATTTTCGGAAATTCGGATGTATCCGAATTACAGATATAACAGATGCAAACAAATCCGAATTTCCGCAGCGGTAGTTTGTTCGAACGTTCTCGTTTCTTATTCGTTCGTTGGAGCAAAGTGACATTAGAGAAGGAGAAAAACATTTTTCCCCCTCAAATGTCACTTTGCTGCAAACGAACGACCGATTAAACGAACGTGCAACCGCTAACGAATTTCGTCCGAATCCGAATTGACTTTCACACCCAAATCCCGAAAAACGAAATAACACAAATCCGAATTTAAAACGAAACGAAACAAATTTTTTGGCAGTGCACATGTCTACCATATACTGAACTCTATTGCATATCTGAGGCTATTGCATGCTATATCAGTTTACTGCACACCGGTCCACTGGCTTTTAATTTATATCCAGGATACAGCCAAGATACAGCGGCCTGTAGCATTTTATTGTGGTTTTTACAGCTCTATCTATCCCATTAGCCCAGCGGTACTAAACCAACGTATGGGGGGCAAGGAAAAGAAGAAAAAGACACAGCAGCTGCAGCCGCAGGCACCATCGTTACCACCAGCGACTACAATGAGGAGAAGCTCTTCATCAAAAATTGGATCATACTTTACAGGTACCCGTTCAAGATTATCTGTGGAGGGGGGGAGGTAGGCTGCAACTGGCTCCCCACACCTCTACGGGAGGTCGGGAAAGGGACAAGGTACAAGATAAACTGGCAAAAGATCATGCTATACATTCACATGCCAATTCGCATACTTTGTATACTAGATCATCCACAAATATACCCAATGAGACATCCCCTGAGGGGAGACTGGACACTCAGAGGGATCAGAGGAAAAGCATTAAGTTTGCAATAAAAGGGTTTATTGTTTAGTTATCACATTATTGAACACCTGAGGAATATGTATAATAAGAATGGAGGAATGTAGATGATAAAAGGGAAAATAGTGAGGTCTCTATATGGGAAACATTTTTTGCCTTTAATGTCACTTTAAGGTCTGGGCGTTTTTTACCTTAATGCATTCTCTGCATTAGGGTAAAAACTGCCCAGCACCTTTTTTCTACCCCAGTCACCTCCCCCCCGCCGCCGGTCCGAAGAGATCCTCCGTTCCCCAAACTTCCGGGTTGCGGGGGAGGATACTGATGGCAGAGTTCCGGGTTGCGGGGGAGGATACTTCTGCCATCAATCAAAGAGGGAAGGAGCGTGGCCTGCCACAGGGCTGTGTATGTCTATGGAAACGAGCGGGCACGAGCGCCTCCATTAGAACGATGGTGGCACCAGTGCAGGGGGCGGGGAGAAGTGCGCTGCGGGGAGCCACTAGAAAACAAGGAATTAGGAACTTTTAAAGAATAAAATCAACAGCCTCCAGCAGAGGAGGGTCTCCTTAAAGGAGAAATAAATAAAAAAAGTTAGGCTTTCATATCACTTTAAACCTGACCAACTGAAGCAACCGCAGATCATAACACTGCCTGAAATCCAGGTGGGGACTTATCCTTTTGGCTGGGCAGTTTATATTTTTCAATGAAAAACTTACTGCTGCACTTTTGAGTAAATGTGTAACCGCCTGGCAACCGTGGATCATTTCTACCTACCCTATCAATTTTGACTCCACACTCTTATACCCTGATAGCGGGTGCCAGTCCCACAGGAGGGACAGCAGAGCCCGGAAAACACCGCGGGGGTGTCGGGCAGGCACTTTACCGGCCCATAGAAGCGATCTGGTGGCAGCTGAACCACCAGAATCGCTTCTATTGTAAAGCAGGCAGCCGGCTTTATAAAGGTAAACAGAGTCCCAGCATTTTGTTTACAGGGCCGTGCTGCCAATGACGTAATAGGTACGTCCGTGGTCACGAAGGGGTTCAATACAAGACAAGTAAAAGAAAAAGTGTGACAATTCCTTATCTTTATACTCAGCCACTTAAGACAGCACTGAAGCCAAAGCTTGTGCTGTCACTGTCCAAATCAATGATGTCACTGGTTGCCAGGAGCTGAGCGGGACCAGTGATGTCACTGGGCAGGACACTGGCCAGAGCTGGGCGGAGAGATGATGCAGAAGCAGCACCCACCGCCCCCCACCCCAGGTAACGTGCACCACAAGCACCCCATCCCTTCTCAGAAGACAAACATGCTAGGGAAGCCCCTGTGTGTATATAGCATGTGGGATACGGGCTTTAGATTGTAAGCTCCTTGCAGGCAGTGACTGAGGTGAATGTGCGCTATGTAAAAGTGCTACATGAATTGTCAGCGCAAAAAAAATGCCAATAATAAACAAAAGCCATCCACAACCCTTCTGCTCACCTCCTGCCATGCTTCCCTCTGGAACTCCCTAACCCAATCTGTCCGCTTATATCCTACTCTGTTCACCTAAGTGCTCCCTGAAAACTCATCTCTTTAGGGAAGCCTAAACTACCTCTACCTAACAACTGAACTTTTATTCTCCCCATCAGCTCATCTCCCATTACCTTTTAGATTGTCAGAGCTCACAAGCAGAACTCTAAGGCTGGGCACACAACTTACATCCAATCACAGACACTGAGACATTTCCCAAACTCTGCAGCTGCGGACCGGGAAAATGTCTCAGTACCTGTGATTGGCGCTGCCAGCTTCCTGGCGGGCTCGGCACGTGGAGCTGTGAACACACCCAAGCCCATCCTTAATCACTAACCCTCTGGTCTTGAACCGTATTGTCTTCCTTTATTCTGTAAAGTGCTGCGTAAACTGCTGGCACTACGTAAGGCTTCATTCGCAGTAGGCGCACAGTAAAATGCTGCGTGCCCACTGAGCGACAACAGTGAACCACAGTGCTTTGCATTGTTACATGGCAAGGTAGTTTACTTTTTTTCTTAACTTTATTTGGTGCGTACAAAGTGTACACTCCATTCACGTCTCGTAATCAGCAGTGTTTTACATTGCACAGTGGTGACATCTTGTGTAGAAAGATGCAAGTCTGCACTTCACCACAGTCCACCCACACATCCTGCATTGTAGTGTGAACAGGGCACATAGACATCAACTGTGTTCTAGCTGCTAATATTGACTGGCCTTGACGCAGAGCGAAAAACCTCAGTCACCGCTGTATGTGTGAACATGCCCCAAACCCTGTATACTAGTAATAATAACAGGGAATGAGATCACCGATTTCATCATTGGCAGCCTCCAGGTTCTCTCTATCACATGACATGACATGATTTAGAACCACAGTCACCCTCCTCAGCTCACACCCCACACTCTACTTCGCGTTTAAGCGGCTCTCCCACGAGGTCAGAGGCTGACATGACGTCACTTCCCGCGCGGGGGCCGCCGGGAAGCCGAGTCGCCCGCCCTTTCCCCACAGCCATCCACAGAAGGGAGGAGGAGGCCGCGGGCTGCCAGTCTCGCCGGGGCCGGTGAGTAGCGGGTCGGAGCCGCCAGGGAGAGCTCCCGCCGGGAGGGATGTTTGATTCGCGCTTACACACGGGCCGGACGGGAGGCCCTGGGAGAGGAGGGGGAGATTTTTAATGCGCGATTTGATGACGTAATAACGACTGGCGCTGCCGCTGACAGGGCTGGAATAATCGGGCGCGCTAGGGGGCCTGCGAGGAGCGGATAACGCGGGTTAGGGGATGCGGAGGATGAGGGAGGTGGAGGGCAGCCTGCTATTCCTGGCGGCATGCCGGTTTTCCGCTTGGGACATAGGGGGGTCCGGATCAAGGGGAGGAAAGAGAGACTAGGCCTTCCGGTTCTGAGGACTGATGTCTGATTGGAGGGAAGGAGAGGCCGGCAGCGAATGAGCAATGAGTGTGGGCGGGATGATAAGTGACAGCTGCTAGGGCTGCAGGGTGGGCGGGGCTGTATACACACGTGGGGTGGGTCCGGGCTTCCAGGGACACTTCCTGTGTGGAGAATTTTCCTTGCAAACTATTAAAACTGAAAATGTGCCATAGAATGATTTTTGTTTCTTAAAGCTGAACGTCAGGCAGATATAAAAGACATTTTAATGCAGCTCTGTAATTATCAATACATTATTAAATGTGTGTCTAGCTTGATAAATATGGCCCGGACTCCATCAAAACGTCCATAATAAAATGATGCTTTGACTTCTTTCCACTGCACCCATAAGTGCCTCTAGATCTACTTTGGAGATATATATATATATATAGGGAATTTATCAAATCTGGAGCAGATCAAATCTGGAGCAGCTGTGCATGGCAACCAATCGGCATCCACCTTTTTTCATTTTCAAAGCATAACTGAACAAACTACAAGAGAGAAGCTGATTGGTTGCCTTGGGCAACTGCTCTAGATTGTCTCTGCTCCAGTTTTGATAAATTCCCCCCCATAGTGTTTTAATATCCAAGTAGTGAAAGTACCTGAATTTGATCTGGTACCCACCTCTTGTAAAGCAGAGCTCAGCAGCACTTAGAATTGATAGGTGTGCTCATGTGCTAGAATGGAACACGCCGATAAGAGGAGAGAGCAGTGTGATGGAGAAATTGCACTAGAGAGAAAGATGACAGAGGAAAGATATGTCTCCCACACCTTGCCCCCCAAGTGTGCAAAAAGGGGGGTGGGGAGGCAGCCAATAGGGTATATTGAGGCATAGAAAAGCAATACAATAACATTTATATTTACAGCTAAAAGTTGTATTTCTAACTAAATCTGTGTGTCACTAAAAATGAGAGTTTCCAATGTTTAGGTCAGTGGTACGTGTCAAAGTAACATCCACATGAATGGCAGGACCCGAGGTTTTTCAGCAGAACATTGCCCAAAACATCACATTGCCTCCGCTGGCTTGCCTTCTTCCCATAGTGCATCCTGGTGCCATCTCCTCCCCAGGTAAGCAAAGCACACGCCCCAGGCCATTAAAGGAGAATCATGGGGAGAGTAAAAAACACTCATCCCCATAATTAGACCCAACATGTGACACTGAAGTTGTCAAACGTCGGCTCTGTTGATCAAGAACTGAGCGATCTCACGTCGGTGAACGTTTAGTTCCCAATCTTCTCCCCGTAGGGATTCCACTCTCCAGTGCTGACTGGAGGGACAGACGGGAGGGGGTGGACACAGTTGGCTCTGCCTCTGGAGAGTTGGAGCCAGCTGTCAATCAGTCAGCGGGGTGGATCCTGACCATATTGGCTCTGTGCTGTCAGCATATAGCGGGCAATAGCCAGCTATATGCTGACTTTTGAGTCACAGGAGGACATTAGTATATGTCCTCCTGCGACCCTAAAGAGAACTCTGGCAAAAAAAAAAGGTTGGGCTATAGTTGTCTTTTAACCGCATATAGTCACCAGAATACAATATCATTCTCTATAGTGGGCCAAACATGTTTCAGTGTGTGTGTACATCAGGTTAGAATAAATGAATGTATAATGCAGGAGCCAGTGAGTTCAGTCTGGGAGCTTGATCATGCTGCACAAGGAGACATGGACATTTATTTTCATTGACCGTTGTGCTGTAGATGTTTTCCTTTCTCTAATCTATTGTTCATACTGTCTGTCCAGTTATGGAAGCTGAAGAAACGATGGGCTGTATCCAGGAATTTCCAGATCACTATAAAGTAATGATGGACAGGCTAAATGAGCAGCGGGAGCAGGACCAGTTTACTGACATCACTCTGATTGTGGATGGTAAGTTTCATTTCTGTGTGCGGTTTGTTGTATATCTGTGGCTGACCATGTTTCAGTGTTGCCTGCGTGCAATGCTTTACACGTACCATTCTTTTACAGTGATTGCCTGTTTGGCTGCAGGTTTCCTTAACAGGCCAGGACAAGACACCCATGGTGCAACCGACAGAATATCATTCCAGCCTTCTGTGCTGTGCTGTTTGTGTTTTTGTAGCGTATTTGTTGAAAAGCCAGAAGACAACGTAAAGGAAGTTATAAAATGACGCGAGGGAATTTCTGTCAGTTTCACCATGGTGGTAGTTGAGCGGCTGGCAATGATGTCATCCTGCTTGCTGGTGTTTCGCAGTTAACATGAGAGACAAGTGATGATCACCTCGGAATACTGAAAAAAGAGATTTAGGAGCCATGCACATGGCCGTGAACAGTCACATGTACTATACGACTGTATTTGTCTCCCACCCTCTGCCATACTACGGCAGCTACTGATATTAGGGACTGAGGACACTGTTGTGAAGGGGAGGGACCGAGGACACTGATGTGAAGAGAACTCCTGACGTAAAGAAACAAAAAAACACATGTTTTGTAAAATCCACTACATTTCAGACTGCGCTGGCTTGAGGTTTTACTTTTATAGGGTGCTGTGATTGATAAAAGGTTGGGAAACACGAGCATAATATACAGCTGTTTACTTGGCTTACCTCTTAAATTATTAATAATGGTGTTTATCGAGTGCTCCAGCTTACCAATCCTTTTGGTTTCTTCAATCTTATGTGCAGGGCACCAGTTCAAAGCCCACAAGGCCGTCCTTGCTGCCTGCAGCCATTTCTTCTACAAATTTTTTCAGGATTACACTGAAGAACCCTTGGTGGAAATAGAAGGTATTTACAGTTTTTGTTCATACAAGCCAGTAGGTTTTGCTGTCTGAACATTTGTCTGCAGTATTTGAGTTGTGTCTGATGCAGTAGTCCCATTGACTCTCATTGCACCGCCCCAAAGAGGTTGTTTAAATACAGGAAAAATACTCCTAAGGTCATGCAGGTGCTGGGTGAATTTCCTGCATGTAAGGAATGCGTTACAGCTCATTCACACCTATGCGTTGCGTCAATTGGGCAATGCGCCTATCGGGGTCAGGGGTCTTATGTAGGGATGCACCGAAGTTTCGGCCGCCGACACATATCTGCCGAAAATGGCGCTTTTGGCAAAAAGCCGAAAAGTGCCATCTTTTGGCTGAAATTGCTGTGCACGCCTAGAATCTCTCCTCCCCGCTGGGCGCTGCTCTGTGTCCCCCTGACACAGCATAGCGTCCAGTGGGGGAGGAGAGAAACGGTCACAGGAGGCCGAGCGTTTCGGAGGAGGTAGAGCGCTGTGAGCGGCCGGTGTGTCACAAGAGGCCGGCTCTCCTCCCACACCATCCCCCTCAGCCTCCTGTGACAGATTAGGAGAGTGGCGGTGTGTGGGGGCGGAGACAGCTGTCCGGGGAGGCTAGGCCAGCGGTGCGGGGGAGGAGTCAGCTTTCACAGGAGACCGAGCTCTCCTCCCCACACCGCTCACTCAGCCTCCTGTGACAGCTGTCAGAACGCAGAGCGGTATACAGACACTCTGCAATAATTGAGGGCATAGTATGTTAACTGTGTTCCCAATTATGAATGAATGGGAAGTGATCTACAACACTTCTGTTCATTCATGATTGTGGACATGGTAAACATACAATCTCCACATGTTATGGATGAACAGGAACACTCAATATAGAGGCTTCTTGTCATTTAAAACAGGGGCTGCAGAAAAAGAGAGGACTCTGTGTTCCCTGAGGACTCTGCTCAATTTCTTTGTCAATTTTAAAAGGGAAATATCAGGGGTCGGCTTAGAGCCCTAATATTTCCCCAACAGTAAAGCAAACAATTAAATATAAAATATTTTTAAAAGATTAGGGGTTAAAAAATGTTGGTTTCAGACTGACATTTTAAAAAAAAAATTTGTTTCGCTTTTAAAAATGTAATTTCGGTGCACCTCTAGTCTTCTATTCCCTATCTGCCCCAGTCCAGTGACTTGTGCATTTACAAAATGTAGCATGTAGCACAAAAATCACCAGTTTGCCATGCCTGCCCTAGTGTAATCCACACTATTTAAGAAGTTTAAAAAAAGTTAAAAGAAATACTTTCACCTGAAAGCTGTTATTCAGTCATCGCAGGAGAAGCACATTGATTGGCTCCTGTGTGCTGCATAACTAAGGCTTTTAAGTGCTAGTACAATCACTGTAATATAAGGGGGTGCCTAGAGTGTCATTTATGACTTTTTATTGGTAACTGTTTATGCAGAAATACACTCTTGTTTTTAAATAGGTGTGAGCAATATGGCGTTCAAGCATCTGATAGAGTTTACATACACAGCAAAACTGATGTTACAAGGTGAAGAGGAGGCCTGCGACATCTACAAAGCAGCGGAATATTTACAGATGCATGAGGCCATCAAAGCACTTGAGATCAGGTATTGCAAAGTTTTTGTGTCGCTGTATTGTTAACAGTATTCTAAAAATGTAAAGAGACCGTGTCACCACCCCATTCATGTGAGTATTATGCCGTCTTGAAATTCTAGCATAGAATAGCTGTGGCATAATTTCCTTTTTTTTTATTTATTCCCTTTCCTTTTTTAAATTTGAGCTACTGGTGTGCTGCAAACAGTCCGGATGTTTCTCCAGACACTTCCTGGAAGCACTGCGTTCTATCCTGACAACTCTGTGCCCCCTCTATGGCCCTGCAGTGTCCAGATGTATCCCCTGCACTCCTTACAGCATTTAGGGCCATATAGTAAATGGTGGTGCTTGCGGTGATGATCACGAATGCGCCGTGCAATACCAAGTCTTGATGCAAATAAAGATAACCAGCACTCGATGAATACTTGTAAATTCTTTTTTTTTGTATTTTAAAAGGTGCGTCACGTGCAAAAACCAACGTTTCGGGGCCACGCAGGGTCCCTTCATCAGGGCGACATGGATCACTATGTCCCCCTGATGAAGGAAACCTGCATGGCCCCGAAACGTTGGTTTTTGCACGTGATGCACCTTTTAAAATAAATACAAACCAGAATTTATAAGTATTCATTGAGTGTTGGTGTTCATTTACATCAAGCCTGCTATGGGCCTGGCATAGCTGAGGAAGCCTTGCATGATCTGCAAACACTGTCGTTGAAGATTCATCTGATGGCTTAACGGAGATTGTGTCACCTTCAGAGGGTGAATTCCTGCGGTAGAAGGCAGCATATGTTCATCTCTCCAGTTTTACATACCTTTTCTGCATTCCAGAGTTGTACCCTTCTAAAGTCTCTTCATCATTGGATGCTTCCATGAGTGTCACATGCTTGTTTCCCAGCTGCATGCTGATTCCATCCTTCAACCCCCCACATCACCGAGCACAGCATTGATCTAGAGGTCGGCAGAAGAAACCAAGCACGCAGTGGGGAACACAAGCATCCAACACCCGGAGGTGTCAAGTGCCGTAAAGGCTTTCTGAGGCTGCACCACTGGAACGGAGGAGAGGTAGGTGGAACAGGCCGCCAAAGGGTACACTGCCTTCTATTGTAGGAGAGTGCAGGTTTTAAATCTTGAGACCTGGCACCATCTCTTAAACTCTGTTAGGGAAGGCAGTAAAATCACACTGTTGGCTGAAAAAAAATGCAGCTCAGCTTTGAAGTGTTGTCTTTTCTATCTGCCCCAAAGAAAGGTCTGTAGAGTCTGTCTGATGAGCTCTCTGGTACCCATGGACAATTTTTTATCACCTCTTTCTGTTGACTTTGAGTCTTTATATTGGTTTAGAGTACCAGATTAAAGAGATCCCCCTCTGCGCAAAGATGCAGTCCTTTCTCCTGGTGTACATTCAGTGATTTTATATATGTGTTTTCTAGGAACAAGGAGACCGTTTTAATTGAAGGGAAACCTGAGGAAAATGAGAGCATTAAAAAATGGAATGTGGAGGATTCCGCTGCCGTCCTTACGGAGACCCTGGCATCTTCAGAAGGTGAACCGGTGGAGATTGAAGTTGAAATAGCAGAAGGAACAATTGAGTTAGAAGATAACATGGAGGCTTTGGAAGCCGTGACCTCCTCTGACCAATCTGTCAAATACATCCAGACTACCGGCACGTCTGATGACTCGGCTCTGGCCCTCCTGGCAGACATTACAAGCAAGTACCGCCAGGGGGAGAGAAAAAGGCAGTTTCAGGAAGACAGTGCCAATGAAAGTGATGCTGGCAAACAGGTAGAAGGCATTGAAATTATGGAAGTTCATCTGTCACATATCAACAACATGTTCCATTGTCAGAAATGTAATCGTTCATTTAAATTGTTTTACCATTTCAAGGAACACATGAAAACGCACACCGCTGACAATTATAAGTGTGAAATATGCAATAAAAGCTACGTCCGGGAGGTTGCCTGGAAGCAGCACCTAACCTGCTACCATCTGGATGAAAGTGGGGCCGCCAAGAGGCCAAAGCCAGGAAAAAAAATCCACGTTTGTCAGTACTGTGAAAAACAGTTTGATCATTTTGGCCATTTTAAGGAGCATCTTCGGAAACATACAGGTAACCTTTAGCGTCATCATGGTGTTGTCCAGAAGAGGACATTATTCAGCAACTGTAGTCAAGCTGCATTGCACCTTGCCAACTGATTTCAATGACTTTGTTGCTAAAATACATCTTTACAGTAAAGGGCTCCGTGCAAAGAAGTACTCCCCTTTCATGCTGCTGATCTCTGCAGTATCAAAGAGAAACTGCCAGCTGAAGATCCTGCGGAATCCAACATTTTTAGTGTGTTCAAAACATGATCCCCCACTGAGTTCAGTGGTTCAATCCACCGGACATTACTTCTGTATCCTGTAGGAGTGGGAGGAGCCACAGGGCGCAGTGAGAGACCAGGTGATTGACACGCCGGGATTCTGCATGATCTTCAGCTATTTACTTAATGTAGAGATCAGCGTCTCGAGCAGCTGGAGAGAGGTGAGTATTCCGTTTCTACTTTGTAGAGAACTCTTATCATACAGTAGGGATGCACAGATACCAAGTACTGATACTTCCAGCTCAAAGACTAGATTTTTTTATTGTCATGTGAAAGTTTTTCTAAAACAATAGACTAATGATTTTAGGATAGTGATGGAGCGCCAGGACCCAGTCACACCTGCAAACCTGATAGTTCTCGTGAAAATGCCAAGTATCGGCACTGGTATCGGTGCATCCCTATCGTACCGTTTTATTTTGTCTCCCATGATATATCTGTAGACACTGGCTGTGAGGATTTCCTATGAGTGTTCTCATCTGTACTGGCATGCAATAAAACCGCTTGGTGGATGCATGTAATTGGTGATCTTTGTACATATTGTTCAGGTTGTGTATAGGGGTCTGGCAGTTGTACAAAGGAACAAGCCCAACTTCCAGTAAAACATTTTAGTTTTGGATATTGTGTAAAAGGGTTCAAACTTTTATAAAACAATTTTCTGACTTTTTCCATTATGAAGATTTCTCCTTGTGTCCTGTCTATTTGTGATCAGATTTAACAGGAAGTGACTGAAAGGTTCCCCATAAATGACAGCTGGCAATACAAAGAAAACTTTGTAGTAGTAGAGTGGGGAGACATTCGAGCTCCTGTGAGGTTTTTATTTCTGCCTGTGTCCTTGCTGGGGAGATTTCCCCTTATTCATGTCCTGGTAACAGGTGGAAGAACAGTAAGTGGAGCAAAGTTTCCTCAATATGCACATAGACAGCATTTGAAACCTGATAGATTCTTGACCCTTCACCACTCAATCCAAGAAGTAGTATAGTGAACGATACAGAATGTGAGTATTTTGTGTACATATATGATTATAGGACACGGACACCAGAATAGCATCCACAGTGTGCTATAGTCCCAGTGTAACTTGAGGGGACTGCAAAGCAGCAGTGCTAACTCATGCAGCACACCCAGTGCAATTCACCTGGGAATTAGATTTCAGGGCCGGTGCACACCACAAACAGTGCATTGCAGAGCGGTCAGCGGATCGCATTCCGGCCGGCTTCCTGCATTCAGGGGCGGGAGGGGGCAGGGCAATGGATTGAAGTCAATGGCACCACTGCAACGCCCCCCGTCTGAACGCGTGGCACTTTAGTGCCTGCGTTCTGGTCCAGTACAATCGGCAAAAGTGCTACACCGTCCTGCCCCTGAACGTAGGGAGAGGCGGCTGGGTTGCGATACAGTGCGTTCCAGAGTCTGACCGCTCTGGATCGCACTGTTTGCGGTGTGAACCGGCCCTCAATTGTATAGTAAAGAAAAGCATTCTGAGGGGCATTCTTAGAGTTCATCTAATGGCAAAAAGTTTTTTCTATTTTGGATAGAGTAGGAGAGGGTTAGAATTGCAGCCATTTGTGTCCTTTTAAGGAAATGTCCCTTCACTACCTTCCTGTAAACTGAACAGGAATGGAAATGATATCTTTCCAGTGTGAGGGAAATCCCATCTTAGATCGTTGTCACAGGAATAGGTGTCCCCCTTGTAAGATCTCTCCCCTTTATTTGGTGACAACAAAAAATTGTGGTCAGGACAATTGGAGAGAGTGAATCTCCATAACTGTGACACAGACAGCAGTCAAAAAAAAATATCTAGCAGGTTCTATAACCTCTCGCCACTCTATTTAAATCTAAAAGGAAATAAAAATACACCTTTTTAGTTATAGCAATCCCTAAGAATTAAACTCTTTGTCCTATATTCTCTCCCTGTCTTTGCTGAAGTGTCTACTCAGGACAGAGCTGAAAGGCTACCTTCTCTTTCTTCTCCTCCGCCATCTTAAAATAGCAAACGGCAAATAATGAAAATAAGCGAAAAGTTCAGTAAAAGCCCAAACTATACTCCCCCTTACCCCCCACCCCCCACCTTCCACAGCAATGCAATGTCCACAATCTCCCACTCTGGCACCAACATCTTCACCGAGTCTGGGACCTTTGGCCATCTTGATTGCCTGTGCTGAGATTTTGTCCACATTCAGACCAAGCTATTTAACAAAGTGTAGAGCTGCAACTATTATTATTATTATTACATAGTATTTATATAGCACCAACAGTTTGCGCAGCGCTTTACAACGTAAGGAAGACATTACAATACAATTCAAGACAAGATGGTAAGGAGGGCCCTGCCCCTAAGGGGTTACAATCTAAAAGAGGAGGGGGAAATGATACATGAGGAGGTAGCTGTGAGGGGATGAATTATTTGAGAATGTGATTAGTTTGCCGATTTTTTATTTTTTTGATCGGATAAAAAAAATTAGCTAACGTCCTTAATTTAAATAAAATACACAAATGCAGTGTTTCTAACAAAGTTACTTCAGAATAAAACTGCATGCACAATTTTTTGCAATCGCACTGCACTGGAACGCATTGTACTACAATCACTCTGTGGGAGGCCTGTTTGGGGTGAAATGAATGGCACCTGCAATGCACCTCTCGCAGCAGAATTTGTCAGACAGAAGCGGCTGAAAAAATTACTTTTTTTTTTGTTTTTTCTCCAACTTCATTATTGTTTCTTTTTTTTTTTGTAATAATTGTAATGTAAGCACATGGCGCTAGAATAGCTTCAGCCAGGAAACGACAGCTGCCAGTGGCAAGATTCCGCAGACGGCAACTGAATGTAAATACAACAGGTAATGGGCTGCTGCAATAGCCAGCCTGCTATTGGCCATTTCAAATTGCAACAGCCAATAGCAGGCTGACTATTGCACCCGCCCACTGCTTGCTGTGCATTCCTCCCAGTGTGGAGGAGAGAGCTAGGGGATCCAACCAACTAATCCATAATGAGAATAGTTGACAACTATTCTCATAATCGATGAGTTGGTTGCAGCCCTGACAAAGTATTATGACACATGTCATAATACAGCAAGGGGTACTTACAGCAGTTACCTTTTCATTCACATGGTCTAATCAATATTCAGTAACTGAAATAAATGAAAACTGTTGCTACAGCTGCTTAAGGTAGTATTAAACTCTCAACCTTTTTTTCAATAATGAATCCAGATCAAACAAATATATATTGCCCCGCAAAGTATTTCTTTAAATTTTTTGCCGCCCACTTACACATTATTTTCCCCGAACAGCTCCAACTCTCTCAGCTCAGCTTCCCTGAACTTCCTGTCCAGTACAAGATTACAAAGGACAGCACAATCTCCAGCAGCTGTCCATCTACTAGCAGGGAGCAGGGGAGAGTCTTGCCTTGCTGTGGCTCAGTGTTTGTGGAGACGCACACAGCTTACTAGCACACACAAGGGTGGCTCCATAGGACCCTGCAAGGGGGAGAAAGGAGCCATCCCAAAACGGGATATCAGGGCCAGTGCTCAGGGGACCATCTGATTCTACAGGAAAACTAAAACTTCCAAACATCAAGAAGCAGCATCCATTGTAAGTGATTTCATCAGCATTTGAAATAGATGAAAACCCTTTGACTTTAATATCACTTTAGGTCCCCTGGGAGACCAATGTCACTGCTGCTTTTACTGGCCAGCTTGGTCCGGCATGCTGATCTCGGATTACTTTCACTTGCTGCTTGCTTATTCTGTTTCAGTGTTTTTATGGTCAGGGGGTCAGCATGATGGCCAGACAACCTGCATTTTTGGGAGGTCAGTAATGGCAATATTCTTTTTCTTTGATAACAGGTGAAAAGCTGGCCATACACCTATAGACTATCTGCAGGTTCTCTATGGTCAGATGGAAACAGTGCAACAGGTTCCTCCATCTACGCCAAACTGTGTGAATGGAGGAACCTCCCACTGGGCCAAGCTGCAGAATCTTGCTAGTTGGCCCCACTGGCTCTCACAATACCTGATCAATCTGATTGGATGCCGGCATTGTTCAGGTATTTTGACAAGCCAGCGTGGCCGACTAGCAAGATACTGAAACTTGGCCCAGTGGGAGATTACTCCATCCACACAGTTTAGCGTAGATGGAGGAACCTGTTGCACTGTTTCCATCTGACCATAGAGAACCTGCAGATAGTCTATAGGTGTATGGCCAGCTTAAAAATATATTTTTAACCCAATAAAGAAATTTTGAAGAGCAACTCCAGTAATTTTAGACCCCCCCCACCATCTGTCACCCCCCTTAATCTGCTTCCCCCACCACTAGAAGCCCACTTCTTCTTCCTTTTTTCTTTTGTGGACTTCTGCTTCCTCAGCCAAGGAGTGGGCATTCTTCCAGGACTGAGGAGCGCCCATGTAATGACGTGAAGGTTGCCTAGTCCTGGCGTACTTTGAGCCCAGCATGCTTGATAATGCACACCCTGAACGAGCGTGTAACAAAAAGTTGGGGTGTGTGTGATCTCTCACACACGTGAGGGGGCAGCTTAAATTTAAAAAAATAAATAAATCCCACCTTCGTATTAAGTGAAATTAGATGACACGTCCCATAAGCAGTAATAATGATCTAATGTGTTTGTGCATATGTGAAATGTACCCATACCTCCAATTCTTTTTCTACTGATGAAGCAGCCGGCATTGAATTAACCGTTGACATTTCATGTATGCACTTTTTTTTCTTTTTCCAGGAGAAAAACCTTTTGAATGTCCAAACTGTCACGAGCATTTTGCCAGGAACAGTACCCTGAAATGTCACTTATCAGCTTGCCAGTATGGAGTTGGTGCCAAGAAGGGAAGGAAGAAGCTGTATGAATGTCAGGTGAGTTCTCCAAGTAAACTAAGGTTTCATGGCCTTCCAGTGTTCTTTAAAGAGAGCCTGTCACTATTGAAACATATGCATGCATCTTTGCTTTGCGTGAAATGTGTATTTTCACAACAGGTTACTTGACTCTCGGGTGAGAGTTGTCTTTGTAGAGTCCCTTTTTAAGACATCCTTCTTATGTGGCATTTCTCTCATTCAGCAATGAATAAATATGTGATGTAAAAAAATGCAGTGGGTTGTCTCTGAAAATGTCTTGATGGGTGGATTTTAGTCTGGAGGAGTGGATTTTCCAAGGCAAGCTGTATTTGCATGCAGATCCCTCCAGGTTAGGGATGTACCTATACCGTTTTGTTTTGTTTTTTTCGGTATCCAGTACGAGCACCGATATTCCCGCTAGCATGGAGCCGGCTTCCCGAGCAGCGTGTCATTACCCTCTGCCCGTCTTCTTGATTTCCTGGGAAGCCGGCTCCATGCTGTTTGGCCAGTAAGCCAGCATCCCAGCCAATCCAGCATGGAGCCAGCTTCCTGTTCAATCAGAAAGTCGGGAGGCTGGTTATTACCCACTGCCCGGCTTCCTGATAGGCCGGGAGGCCGGCTCCATGCTTTTAAACTGGTTTGATGCTGATTGGCTGGGAAGCTGGCTTCCCGGCCAATCAGTATGAAGCCGGGCTGTGGATAATGACTTGTGGCCTGGCTTCCTGATTGGCTAGGAAGCCATCTGCATGTTCTCTCACAGCACTGCCAGTCAGAGGAAATTTCCCTCTGACTGGAGGTTCTGGTATAGAGGTTAAGTATCGGAGCATTTGGGCTAGTACGAGATACTAGTATCATTATCAATGCATCCCTACCCTAGGTAATGCCCACATGTGATGCAGAGCCTCTATGACTGGCAGAACTAAGGGATGGGCCCGAATTGGATTCATAGGTGCAACATTTTGAAGCTACAGGTACACATTTGTGACGTATATAATTGTTAGAAGCGGTAAAGGACACCAGTGTATAAATCTTTTTTGGTTTGTAGTATATTTTAGAGAAATAAAGGTGAATGAAGTCAGTCCGAGTGATAGTGTAAGGAAGGCAGTCTCCAATATCTTCTGCTGTATGTGGTATACACTTAGTAGCCAGAATATTATGACCACCTGACGTTTGTAGGCAAATTGGCTATAATTTTGCGCTGAAGTTGCTAGAGGACCAGAACATTATAAATAGGGAAGCAGGTTGTTTACCACGACAGTAGAAGTGATTTTTTTCTGAAGATACGGGTAAACAACGCGATTTAACAGCCTTTGAACGTGGGATGATTGTTGGAGCGGAGCCATGGAGCGAGTATCAGCAAAACAGCAGAATTCGTTAAATGTTCAAGAGCAGCTGTTGTTAAAGTGTTTAAAGACTGGACTGTCAGCCGAAAATCTGGGTCTGATTGTGGGAATTGTGGCCGTCAGCGACTAGTCAATGTTAGGGCAGAACGGAGAGTGGTAAGACTGGTACAAGACAACAGAAGGGCAACAGTGTCGTCAGATTCCTCGCACCACCTTTCAACATCTCGTGGAGTCACGAGGCGGCCCAACGAAGTCATCTCGTGGAGTCACGAGGCGGCCCAACGAAGTACTGATGGGGTGGTCATAATAATCTGGCCACTCAGTGTAGTCCTTTTATTTTGTTATAGGGAAAGGTTTCTTCTACTAAAGGTTAGTGGCTACACACAGGTCCCAGTTTTTAATGACTCCATGTGCTTGACCATTAGTTGTAATGACAGTTCATTCCCTTCCTCCTCATGTGTGAAGTGGAGGTGCAGCATTATCCAGCAGTAGTTCCTGATCAAAATTTAGGGTGCTCGATAGTCAGGCTTTACCACAGTAGACAGAAGGAGCCAAAGAGCCTCACACTTGGTTCCCATGGCTGTGCCTGCAGCCTGCTCATGTACTGAAAGTCTGGGCCAGACGAAGGCGTTTTTTATGACATTATTAAAGAAACAAGGCAGGCAGGTGGCAAATGACTAGTCACAAATATTGCCTGTGGTCTCCCTGTAGCTAATCTTTTTTTTTTTTTTTCTTCTTTGTTACTGACTTACGGCACCTTGTTTTGCACTGCAGGTGGCCATCTTAGTAGAGGCAGGGCTTTGCTTTCTCATGTCAGAGCCTCCAGTACATAGTGACCTCATCAAATTTAACTCCAAATCTCTTGAGACTAGCAGTCAGAGGTAGCAGTGCCTCAGATCTAACACTGCAAATATATAGCTATGAAGCTGTGTACACAGGAGAATTTTAGGCTCCTTCGTATACCAGGAAATGTACTGTTATTTTTCAGCTGGAATTCAAAAGGAAAGCTCAATCTTTCAGCGTTAGGCACAGTCAGCCTCTGTAAATGTCCCCTTTTAACAAAGCAAATATTCACTTTTTTTTTCTTTTACTTCAGATCCACTTTAACCTCTTGCCGTCCGCCCGTAGTAAAAAAATTTAATATAGTAAAAAAATAAAACCCCCAGTGGTGAATAAATACCACCAAAAGAAAGCTCTATCTGTCCCCAAAAAAGGGTATAAAATTCATTTCAGTACAGCGCTGCATGACGGAATAAATGTCAGTTAAAGTACCACAGCGCTGAATACTGAAAAATGGCCTGGATGGGAAGGGGGTTTAACACCGCGGATGTCAACTGGTTAAAGTTCATGTGGTCATTTTCGGTAAGGATGCACCGATACCAGTTTTTCGGTATTGAGTACTGATTTTTTTTTTTTTTGGTACTCGCCGATACCAATATTAGAAGTCCCATTAAGGAAGCCAGGCGGCATGTAATGACTCGCCACCTGGCTTCCTGATTAGTCGGGAAGCCGTCTCCATGCTTCTCGTCACTAGGTGCCCGGCTTGCTGATACTGGAAGCTCGAGTATTGGTCTAGGCATCGAGTACTCGCCCAAAATACTCGGCATGGGCACCGATACTAGTATCGGTATTGGTGCATCCCTAATTTTTGGTGTAAGTTGTATTCAGTGTATTTTCTGGTTTTTATATTAACACATATCTGCTTGTTTTCAGGTTTGCAACAGTGTTTTCAATTGCTGGGACCAGTTTAAAGACCATCTGGTTCTTCACACAGGGGACAAGCCCAATCACTGTACAATTTGTGATTTGTGGTTTATGCAAGGCAGTGAGCTGAGGAAACACCTTCGTGAAATACACAACATCTCGGAAAGAATAGTGACCGAGGTCATGCTTCCTTCTGAATCTGCAGAAATGGAGACTGTGCCTTCAATGACCTTTGTGGAGCAAGTGGAAGAAGTCCATGTGGTGCCAGTAGATCAAGTTATCCAAGTGCAGGTCGATCCTCCCCAGCTGACGGTAGGCCAGTTGCACCAAGATCTGCTGGAAGTGAATCAAGTAAAAGGCACCCATATACTAGATCTACAGACACAGGTACATATGGGTCACATAGAGGTGGAACATCTTCAGATAGACCATGGTACAGAGGTTCATGTTGAGGAAGTGCATGTAAACCAAATACACATGGAAGAAGTTGAGGCTGAACTTCTGGACGAATCCACTATTCATCACATTGAACATACTATCGAAGAACAGACCTGCCAAGAAGAAGTAGAAGAAGTAGAAGAAGCAGAACTGCATCAAATAGTCCACACAGGAGCTGAGAACTTACAGATCAGGCAGCTGGAGATCACACACATTGAAGCTGCTGCTGAGTAGAACATTGCACTGAAAAAGAGGGACAAACAACCAGTGTTAAATAGGGTTGGCTATGTTTCTTGATACTTGTTATTGAGTTAGAGGAGTGATATGTTTGGAAGACAGCCATCGGATATTCCTACATTTTTTTTATAAGCTGTGGATTTTCTGTAGAACGTATCTGATCCGCAAGAATTACATTTGTCTTGATGGGAAATACTTTGGATTGAATAAACAACCAGTTTCTACCTGTCACTTTTATCATCGATGTTCCCTGCCAGCACCCACGCGAGATTTGAACCTACTTAGTCTTGACAGGATATTGTGTTCCAAGCTGTGCCATACCCCAGTTCTTCACATGATTTCTTGTCCCGAGGAGCAGATTTGATGTCATACCTGTCAATTTTGAGACAGTTCTCCCTTGGTCAAGATGACTAGAATATCTAGTTTATTTTAAATGGAGCTTCCAGGCCTTCTATGTAATTACTTCATTTATGGCTGCAGCTGAGTTCTCACCCAGGACTTTCTATGGTAAATCTCTTGGTTGGATGTTGTTAAGTGAGCCTGTGCCCAGACTATGGACACATTTAAAGTATTTACATATTCTTAATAACCAGTAATCGTTTGAAAGCCCAATTATACTTTCAGTTTAAATCCTTTAATTGCAGGTACATTGAAACAAAAGGTATAAAAAGTCTTATGGTTTGTTTTCTTTAGCAGCCACAGCCTGAGTAGAAAAGCCTGTCCTTTGTCAGCATGCTGCGTAGAGTAGGACCTTTGCTGTCTGTGTCAGCAGTGGTCCCTCTGCAGTGGTCTGCCATGCCCCTGTGCAGAGTCAGGGTCATTGCTCTGCAATCAGCAAAGCTCCATGCTGATTGGAGAACTTTAGTTCTGATTCAGCAGGGGGCATACCACACCTCAGAGACAACTTCATCATGGAGAGCAAGGGTCCAACTCTACAGCATGCTGCCTGGGGTCCGGCTTTTCTACTCGGGGTGTGGCTGCTTTAGAAAGAAAATGAACTAAGGCTTTTTACTAGGGATGCACAGATACTTTTCGAGTACCAGTGCCTATACTTGGCATTTTCATGAGAACTACCAGGGTGGTTGCGGTTGAAGCTGGGACCGGGCTCTGGTGCTCCACCACTGTCCTGAAATCATTAGTCTGTATTGTTTTAGAAAAACTGTCACAAGACAATAAACAAAAATGTATTAGTACTTGTAAGTACTCGGCAAGTACCAGTACTCGTACTCGTAAAGCTGGTATCTGTGCATCACTTTATTTATATTTATAAAAACAAAATCGTACATTAAAACAAAGATGTACAAATCCCAGGAGCTCCGTGTGCGCCTTACAAATGACAGCTGCCTCCTAACTTCTGAATTTTTCTCTAGTCTAGTCTTGGAGCTCAAAAGTATCTGTACTTGTACTTGTACCGAGTACGTACTTGGTATCTGTGCAACCCTACTTTTTACACCTTTCTGTTTTGATGCACCTGGAATTAGGGAAGCACCGATAGCAGTGCCGATACTTGGCATTTTTATGAGAACTACCAGGGTTGCAGCGTTTGAAGCTGGGACCGGGCTCTGGCGCTCCACCACTGTCCTGAAATCATTAGTCTGTATTGTTTTAGAAAAACTGTCACATGACAATAAACAAAATTGTATCAGTACTTGTACTTGCAAAAATGGTATTGGTGCATCCCTAATAAAGTTATATATAAAACAGATCATACATTAAAACTGGGATGCACAAATCCCGGGAGCTCCGTGTGCTCCTTACAAATGACAGCTGCCTCCTAACTTTTGAATTTTTCTCTAGTCTTGGAGCTCAAAAGTATCTGTACATGTACCGAGTACGGTACTTGGCATCGGTGCATTCCTACCTGGAATGTATTTAGATAATTTAAGCTGAAGGTTCAATCGGGCTTGGAGACAGGTCTTTGCTGATCTCTGTAGCTGCCGGTAGAGTAATTCATCCTCAAAGATCGCAGCAGATGCTGAAGTCAGGTTTCATCTGTTTTTAAGCGCAGGCTGCCAAGTCTCTGCTGCCAGAGAAAGTAAAAGGAAGGGAGCTGTGATTTTTATTGCTCATGTTAATAACTTTGACCTGCAGTTATAGAGGCCAATGATGGCTTGTTTTAAAGCTCTTTTATTATTTATTGCTGGCTATGAATATGTAATCCATGATTTGAATACATGTTTTTTTTCCCCCTTGGAATCAAATATATTCTTTCTATAAATATGGTCGATTCATGGTGGAAGTAAAGTTCTTTTTTCTCAGAATTTTCCAGGGCAGATGTTAGAGAATTGAAATGGGTCTTCTCAGGGATTTCTCCATGAAACACCCATTTCCTTCACTATGGCTTCACCACAAGCGTTTGGATAGGACTTCTTTGTATTTTCTTCTTTTAGGACTTCTTTGTATTCTCTGCTATTTGTTCCAACTAGTAGGTAGGATCAGCTCTCAAGTGGTGATGTTATGTGACCTTGATGGAAAAGTGATTACCAAGGAAAGCTAGGTTCAGGTCTTAAACCTTGTTTCATGCAACAGCTAAATTGGGGTATTCAAATCAATTAGTTGCGCTAGGAGTAGCTATATTTTGTCACCAGCTGCACCAATGTGTTGATATAAATCAGGCAAAATGAACTAGTATGTTGCTCTCGGTGTTGGTGGATCTCTTTGGTTTGGGGTAGGTTTAGTTGTCGCTAACATAATGTCAAACTATATACGGTGAAAATGGTGATAAATAATTCTATGTGATAAATTAATAGATAGTACTTAAAATCGTGCTAATTTGTGATCTATAATGGATTTTTGGACACATCGATTTATTTATTTATTTATTTACATTTTATTACTTCATATTTATTTCTTTTATTTATCAATTAATTTTTCGATTTTTTGATAGTTTTTACTTCTTGATACAATTTACAAAGTATACATTCACTATATTGTAATTCACTAACAGCCATGTTGAGACACTTCTAGCGGTACCAATGAATTTTTTAGGTATAAGCATTATACCGCCACCACGGTAATCCTACACAATTAGAGTCACCACAGAATAATTTATATACACTATTTAATCAACAACATATGCTTATATATATTTATTTATAGATCACAAATTAGCACGATTTTAAGTACTATCTATTAATTTATCACATAGAATTATTTATCACCATTTTCACCGTATATAGTTTGACATTGTGTTTAGTGACAACTAAACCTACCCCAAACCAAAGAGATCCACCAACACCGAGCGCAACATACTAGTTCATTTTAGCTAAATTGGGGTGTAACATGGTCGCATACACCATCCCCAAACCCCGCACCACTGGCCCTTTACCTGAATTGCAGGGTGCTGCTTCTGGCAGAAATCTGTAATCCATTGAATTTAGTGATGGGGATTGTTTACGATAAATTACTTCATGTCCCATTTGCCGCAGAGGGACTGTGCAGAGCATGCTGGTGATTCCTCCTCTCTCCCTGCTCCGTAGTTCAAGCTTCACTTCCTCCAACCCCATGACAGTAGGTCTGTACCTCCCTATGGACCTGAGGCTAGCAGACAACACTGAAAGAGCCTGTACATTGCACCCGCAACACTTTGATCGCAGCTGCAGTGCTATGCAAGCTTAATTGCAATAATTAGTAAATGCTTTTCTTTTTATTGCTTCATTTACTGATTTTTGCAAAAGTTATTCCAAGCTTTTAAACTCTTATCGCAGGTTAGACAATGAAAGGAAGTATCTGATTGCTCTGGACAACAGAAGCTTTCCTCTTGTCTCCTAAATTCCTTCTTTAGTACAAATAAAGTATGTAAAACTTGTTCCAAAGAATACCAAGCACGCTGGAGAGATGATTTTGGGTGAAGCAGAGAAGGCAGTTGAGTTTAGAGTTCCGCAGAAATAACATTTTAATGCAATTAAAGAAGAACTCCGGGAAAATGTTATTAACCCTTGCAGTGGGGCTATCTCTGCACCGCAGGGGTTAACTTGAGCGTTTTTGTCTAGGTTAGAAAAAAAATTGCTAAAGCTGGCCATACACCTATAGATTATCTGCAGACTTTCTATGGTCAGATGGAAAAAGTGCAACAGATTCCTCCATCTACGCTGAACCGTGTGGATTGAGGAATCTCCCACTGGGCCAAGCCTCAGTATCTTACTAGTCTGCCACGCTGGCTGTCATAACACCTGAACAATGCCTGCACCCAATCAGATTGTTCAGGTATTTTAAGAGCCAACGGGGGGCCGACTAGCAAGATACTGAAGCTTGGCCCAGTGGGAGATTCCTGCAACCACACAGGTCAGCGTAGATGGGGGAATCTGTTGCACCTTTTCCATCTGACCATAGAAACTCTGCAGATAATCTATAGGTGTATGGCCAGCTTTATACTCACCTGATGCTGAGCCGGCTTTTTCTTAGACCGGTCCATAGAGCCTCTCTCCCCCTCTGCTGCAATGTTCTAAGGTCCCGTAAATCATCACGTTCTATACACTGTATATAGACGTGAGGGCACTGAAGAAGATTCCAATGCTGCAGCTTAGGAGGAGAGAGGCTGGAGGGAGCGCTGTGACAGCAGGTCGGCTCGGATCTTTGGGCGAGTAGAACTTTATTTTTTAACTTAGATAAGAAAAATGAGCACTTACCCTTGCAATGTAAGCGTAAAGAAAGTTTTCCTGGAGTTCCTCTTCAAGCTCAGCATTTGCATGGCTTCTTATTTATTTTTATTTTTTTGAGGCATAAACAGTAAAAATAGCTTTTCAGTTCCCATTGTGCCATGTAAGGATCATGGGAACTGCACTTTAAGAAAATCAATGGCTTGCCGGCATTCTAAGTTTTTCTTGGATATCCAATAATAGAATGTCTCGTAGCAAAAGGAACCAACGCACAACTCAGTCGCTGCTCAATGTTTTATTGAGTCATCATTGTGTTTTTTGCCCCATGTTGTATCCTCGCAGTGTCTGCATATTCTTTAGTTGTCTTCACACACAAGATTGAGCTTAGAGCTGCAGCTAACGATTATTTTCAAAATCGATTAGTTAGCCGATTATTAAGTTCGATTAATCGGATAAACTATAAAATAAAGTTTAAAAAATGGCTCCAGTGATGGACTACTAGTTTGTATTGAGATTGCAGTCCATCACAGGAGCAAGCTTGGAGCGGTGGAAGTAAAAAAGATAGTGTGGTGTGCAATATAGTGAAATGGAAAGTGTAAAATTATACAGCAATGAATGCAGAATGGCACCGGCTATAGAGGACTACAAATCCCAGCAAAAGCACATTATACAGCG